CGCCCCCGGGCCCGAGGAGCGCGCCGCCCGCCGCCGCCACGCCGTGCGCGCCGCCGCCACCCTGCTGCCGCTCTTCGCCGTGCACTGGTTCCTGGCCGTGCTCGCCCTGGAGAACCCGGCCTCGCTCGCGCTGCCCGCCGCCGACGCCATGCTCAACATCTTCCTTGTGAGTGCGCCTCCATCGCTCGCTATTCCCCTCCCTCTCTCTCCTGTTCGCTGGCTTGCCACTCACGCATTCATTTGATTATTCATTAACACATTCATTCGCCGACCTGGATGGCAACCGTATGTACCGACTCAGCGCTTCGGTCCGAAGGATCGTGGGTTCGAGTCCCGCCTTGGGTTTGTTTGTTTGACCCTTGTCTTTCATGTAGGTGTTGGCGCGGAGGGCCTCGCGTTCTGCTGACCACACAGATCAGAGGAGCCTGCAAAGTGTGTTAATGTCTAGTGATCGAATATGCGTGCCATTGAGACGTAAAGTCTGCAGGGAAAGTCCTAAGAAGAACACATACATTCATATATTTCGTAACTTCACGTAACTTGACATATCTTCCTGATGTGTACGCCTCACTCGCTTCATATTCCCTTCCTTAAGTCACTTTTTTAAACTCATTCATTCATTATAACTAGCACTTTCACTGTCCAGTACGTCATGTGTAGTTCACAAAACGTAACACTCGATGGTTTTAGTACTTGTGAACATGTGTACGTGTGAACGTGTGTACCTGTGAACCACATGTGGTTCACAGACGTTTCGAAGTTTTATGGCATAGATTTGCAAGGAACGTACCGTAAACTACACGAATTTTGCTTTGGACTGGCTAGGACGCTCAAATAATTTAAAAATACACCAGGATGCACAGAAAAATATTTTTCTGAGAATATTACAATAAAAATATGGTTGTAAAGTCGTTTGGACGTGCAGATATATTTTAATGTTTTCATAGAGACAGGGAATGTGCAAGGGAGGGGATTTTTATGACCAAACAAATATAAGAAATATGCAATTAAAAATATGCATTTATGACATAAAATTTCTTCAAATTGCACTTTAACACGCATTATAAATTGACAATATTTCATTTCCTGTATATTTTGTGATAAAATTTAGAAGAAGCATGCTTGCAATAAAATGATAAATTTTTGTACAAACAACACAATCTACCTTATTTTGCGGAAGAAATAATTGAAGTAAACATATACCTTAGTGAAGTACATTGTGTGTCTTGTCACATTTTATCTGCTTGGTTTAAAAAATATGATATCAAATAACATCCTACATTTGCACAAATATTTATCATTTGTAGAAAAGATAAAAAAGGAAACTGTGACACGCTCTTTCTAGACACCGAATGCTCAAAAATAAATAGTAGTTTCAATAAAAAGAGTAAAAGACTAAACTTTAGTGATAAGTTTCTATTTTAAAGAAATATGCGAAATATAGACCCATAATTACGCGAATATGCACCAGCAGAAAAAATCTATGTAATATACACAAATGTGCACTAACATGTCAGTCAACATAGCATCAAATATTAACAAAACGTCAATGATTTCACTTAGTTATGCTATGAAGAACAGACAAAATCATAGAAATCTGCTCTCTAATTATCACATTAAGTAATATTTCTTTTCAATCATTTTAGATATTTTTACTCTATCACTCATTTACAATTCGTTTTAATATACGATTTATTTTCCGATAATTCATTATTATTTATTCAGTCGTTTGTTTATCCATTTATTTTTCATTCATAGTTTCATGACAGCAGTTTTTATTTAATTTACTTATTCGCATTCAGTTATTTTTTAATCAGGCGTCCAGTTTGTCCGTTAGTTAATTTTCGTGTACTTTCAGCTTACCGTGTATAGTTTAATTCTTTCCAAGTTCATTCCTTAATCTTGATTCATCATTGGATGCAATAAATGTGTAGCTTACCCACTACGTTTAAGTCACAAAAATGTATTTAATTGTTAGTAGAGAATAGCACACACTAAAATTTAATTTTCGTGTCAAAAAAGGTTCGAGAAAAGGGTAAAATTCCGGGATCCAGAAAATGCCACATCTACATTTCAGCAATGGCTTTTGAGTTACAATTTAAAGCAATTTACAACACGCTAACCGAAATAAAATGAAAGCAATACTAATGTATAAAAACACTTGTGCTAATGATAATTTTCCGGTACAATTCTTAATAATGAATATTTTGAATGTTCCCTCAAAAAAAATTAAAAATATCTTCAAAAAAAGTATAAAATTTTGATTTAATAAAAAATTTTATTCTTTGTTTTTTCAATCTTATTTTCAACAAAATCTATAATTATTTGATATAAAATGACTGAGTTCGTAAAGTTGTTTTATTATCAAGCTAAAAAGCTACAGTTCCTGAATTAGTAATATTTTCTTGAAATTACAGTTCATGCTTAATGAACATTTATAACGACATCTCGTAAATGCCTTAATGAATGCTCTAAAGTCTACATTAATTCACAAAAGTGAAAAAAGTGAACTATATCAAACATATTTCAAAAATATATCGAGTTATTTGTACTCTTAAAAATGAGCCTTCATTCTTTTATTTTAATTCTCCTCCGCTTCCTCTGGAGCCTACTTAATCTCTTACAGCGCTGGCTGAATTTTGAGGGTTCATGCGTTTTCGTGCTTTTTGTGTTTTTTGGCTGCGAGCAGTGTGGCGTGGGCAGATGAAGCACATTGTGTGATAGCGAAACAAATGAGACGCGTTCTGTGGACGAAAGTAATGACTTGCATTACCAGTATTTATGTTGCAAAGAATGTTATCCATATTTTTGAGGAGAAATATGTGTGCATTTACATGGAAGAGATTTGTATGCATGAAAAGGATAAAAGGGTTAAAGGGAACGAACCTCGTTGAAAAATGCAATGTTAAGCGAATGGCAGTAGCAATTTACACTCTAAATATTAATTATCACAACAATACATATCTTATAAATATATTAAATCGGTTTTATCAATTACAAACTATTAAAAAACATTTAAAGATTTGAAAATTAAATGCGTTTTAGGAATTAAACTTCAAAACTCCGTACCGGATATTTTGTTGCGAATTGTTTTGAATTAAAGTACTGTTCAAATTATTGTGTAATTAGTTTTGAAGTTCCGTTTCACGGGATATTTGTCGTTCAAAGCAATTAACCTTCTTGGAATATTTTAAAATAATCTTTAGGCTTATAAGGATGCTTGTTCGAATTTAAGCGATACACACGTAACATAAAAACATATTTTGTTTCATTTTCATTCACTAATGTAAGTTTAGATAAAATAAAAGTACTTTAATAATTTATTTTAGATAAAAAATAATTTTCTTCATTATACTAAACTATCTTAACCTCTGCGATTAAATAACACAAATGGATGAAGTAGAGTAGTTACAACAGATTCATAATATGGAAAATTGAAAACCACACAAACATTGTTTTATGACTATCAATTCTTATCCGGATTATAGGGTGTATGGTCAAACAGTTCCCAGCAGAACTTCTGTTGCAGGTATGTTGTTAATTGAACCGTGATTGGCTGACGGTATACATCCTATGCTCCAGATCTCGCTCTCACTTATTTTTACCTTTTCTTACACCTAAAGAAATTACTGTGCTCAGACTGATCACAGTACGCAGTATCGCAGATCACAGTATCACCGTTACACAGTGTTGCGAGAAGGCTGTCAAACACTACAGGCACATATGCCAGGTATATATTCCAAGCAACAGACTTTCACGACACAAATGTCAATACATGTATTGATCCCAATTCCGGTGTTGATTATGTGGGAAAACAGTGCAACTGTTGTCGTTGTTGATAGGAAACCTATGTGAAAAAAATATAGGAGGAAAACAATTTTTGATGTTAATAATGTACAATTGGCTAAGTTTACGCATTCAGGCGTTCTATATAATAGTATTAAATATGTATTTATCGCAATATTTTTAAAGCACATCACAAAGAGCTCCCATGTGGCTCTTAGTACATACGAGATATTCGACTATAAATAAATTGCAAATGTCACATAGCTAGTTAGTTAATGACTAATTTTATGTGGTGAGGCTTGGACCATGAGGCCCGCTCTTCTGTCTGATCACGCAAATTTCGCTATACTCCTTTCCCCATCTAACAGAGAAAAAAGGTACTACTCGGCCGAAGCAATATGCTATTTTAAGTTTATTTTAGAGGCTTCTTTTCGGCTTGAGTATCTTTTACAAGTAGTAAATCTTTTACATGGGACAGCCGGTTTTACTCCCCTAAGGTTTCTTATTTTCTTTTTTTAAATCACAATTTCTCTCACTCTGTTCTTTGAAAATTTACTTATCAAACTAAAGAATAAGCAAATTCTAAATAATTCATTCCAAAATGTAAAAATTGCCAATTCCGAGTCACAAAGTAGGTAGTCAATCATCAACGACGATGTGCCTTATCTGCTTCAATAAAATTTTTCCTTGAAATTGTGTTGTATTTTGTTGACGATCTTGGGAATCCCACTCTCTGGATGCACCTCGTTCACACACACTGTTATATAAGTGAAGTTGTAAAGTGACATCCCAAATACAACATGACTCTAAACTAAGAGAGTATAAGTACCAAACTTATTAATCCTTGTGAATGAATGATTTATTGACTCAAACCGAGCCAATATACCATTCATTCCTGCATGCACTCATTCATGAGGACAACGCAATTTAGCACTAATAGAGCACCATACATAGCGATACTTCATGAAAATAAGGGACTACTCGACTTCATGAGTTAGGTAGCTCTGGTACTGAATCACGCGTATGTCTTCAGATGTTTCGTGTTAACGTGTAGTGCTCCAGGAGCGGGTGTATTTAATAAAGCTGTTCCTTGCGATTGTGCTGTCTTTTGTTGAGGGCCTAGGGAATGCTTGTTGCGGCTGGCTGCGCCTCGCGCACAGTCACTGTCACATTTTCCGAGGTGTGTGGTGTCGAGCGCGCCGTGCAGTGTCGGGGGCGTGTGTCGCAGAACTGGTTCCTGCTGTGGAGCGCGGGCGCTGTGTGGGCGCCATCCGACGAGGCGGCCGCGTGGGAGGACACGGAGGAAGAGTGCGAGGACGAGGGCGGCGTGGGGCTCGGGCTGGGGATGGGGCTTGGGGGCGGGGCCGGGCCAGCACGGGGGACGAGGTGGTGGCGCTGCTAATGCGCCGCCGCCGCGCCGCGCACTCCCGCCCCCGGCCCGCGCCGCCCCCGCCGACGCGCAGCCGCTGCTGGCGGACGTGCAGCCCTGGCCGCCGCGCCCGCGCCGCCGCCCGCCGCCCGCTCGCCCCGCCGCCCCGCCCGCCCCGCCCGGCGGGCGAACTGCTCGAGCTGCGCCTAGACGCGCTGTCCGCTGTGTCGGCCTTCGGCTCGTGAAGGTAGGAAAATAGATACATTTTATTTATTTTACTACCAGCGTTGTAAAATTCTGTCATTTGAAGGCTGCAAACCCGTTGCATAATGATTCTTATTACGATACACATTTCACTATGATACAGGTTCTTGACCAATCGGAGAGACGTTTACAAACCAAGTATTGACATTTAATCATTGAGAATCATTCTAGTAAATTCTAGTAAATGTTTCGTTCGATTGTGAACATAAAAATTGCATATAATATTGAATTATGCCTGTCAATTTTATTCTTTTTAGAATTATCAATTTTAAGTGGAATATTATTTAAAATAAATTGGAACGTAATTTGACTTTAATCCTATTTGAATAGCGCAGTAAACCAAAGCCATCTGCGGGAGGGTAGGGTAAGGACCTGTCCGCAAGATGGCCTTAGCTGATTCATGTACGTCAACTGCAACGAAACGATTCAATGTAAAAGTTTAACTTATAAAAGTTACCATCATTCGTAGAATAAGTACCGTATGAAACAATGTAATGGGTATTAATACACTTCCTCGATCGTATCGTAATATCACACTTGTGTATTATACCCATCATTATCATTGTTTCATAATGTGATATTAGCATTCTTTCTCGTCTCTTTGTGATACTTACAGTCGACTAGCTCGCTCATAGTGTACTGAAACTGGGTCTAATTGAATTGAATTAATGCCTTATTTTACGTAGCGAGACACAGGCCATGAGACCTGCTCTTCCGTCTGACCATGCTTCACTTCTTTCACCAACTAGCAGAGAAAGGAGGTATTTCTTGGGCGAGAAACAGGATTTGAATTTAGCTCAGAGTCGTCATTTAGGCTTGAGGATCTTTTACATGCAAGTAAATCTACTGACATGGTACAGCCGGCTTAACTTCCCCCTCCGAAGTAAGGCGTACGAAGGATTCTTTCACCCTTAAAAATCCACGACTTCGATCAGGTTTGAAGCGGATTCACTGTAACCGGAGTCGACTGAATTTACATAAACAAGTTTATATTTTCTTCATAAAATGTATTATATATTTTTTCACATCTGTATTTTTCTATTTGGTAAATTTTAATTTTTTTTTCTAAAATCCCTTAATGTTATTAATATTTAAAATATAACAATAACTTACTAGTTTAAATAATGTATCAAATAATGTTGTTTTTGTTTGCTTGGAGACTCTTAGTAAAATTAATGGCTACATTGTGTATTTGCCTTGTTTCTCTCTGTGTCTTTTACTCTTTGCGTATCGTTGACTAAATACCTGTTTTCTTCACTGTGCAGGTGGGCGTGGCGGCCGTGGACGCTGGCTCGCCCTGTCCGCCCCGCCGCCCGCGCCTTCGCCCACCCACTCGCCCGCACCCACCGCCCCACGCCCCCGCCCCCGCCCACGCTCACCTCCAGGTAACAGCTTTAATTGACCCCCGCTCCACCGACCCCTGCCTTTGGTTTATTTGTTCCATCGTCAGCACATTTTTTTTCTCCGAAGACACGGCCTTCTAGATTCTCGCATTCCAAGCATGTCTGCATGCTGCGATCTATTCGCATGGTCGTCGCATTATGTAATGGTTCTATTTATTGGTTTCAAACATGGACGATTTCCTTTTTTCATTATTAATAAATTATCATCTGCATTTAGTTATTAATGAATTATCATTATAAAAGTACAAATAATTCTTCCTTTCGTAGTTTACTCTGAGCCCCTGTTTCCTACTAAACATTAAGACGTCCACGGGATGGGAAAACTTAGAAGTCCGTATCTGATGTTGATAGCAAACTTTTCACCATTTTGGACACGTTTAAAGTGATCAAATAATACCTGTAACCTAAGCAAAGTAGTCTGACGTCATTAATTCTGTTTTGGATACTCTCAAGCCTAATCGCATTATTCTGAGAGCACTCTAATTGTCCAGCAGTAATGGTTCAGTTATCCATGGCTGGCATTCAAATCTTAGTATCAACTTGGAACACACATAATTATGTCGCTAGAAGTTCTCTATATTATTCTCCACCACTGTTTTTGTAAATTTCCCGAATGAATTCAAATGAACTAGAATGTTAAGGTATATATTGCCTGAAGTAGTGACTGTACTTTATGAAATAATCGTGTCAAAATGGTAGATCAATTTATTAATTTTATAAAATGATTTATTGTCATGTTCATGTTTTTCTTCGTTTAGAGCACAAACACAATCATATTCAAATTCCAACTGGATCACGTTAGTAGACATTTAAGTGATTTATTAATTAATACATTCCGAAAAATATCTACGTACACAACTCGAAAGTAATATTACATACAAATTAATTAAAATTTTTCATATTTTCGCGGAAACATATGAAAGGTTGGGAACATGATCTCAGTAGATGGCAGTATCGATATACAAATGTCTCATATGAATGACAGTATCCCCCTTTCTTTTCCGCCCGTTACTGTTTTAATAGAATTGTATAATTTTTCTTGAGTAAGTGTTCAAATCCAATTTTAAGACATTCAGTTTTTTGTTTTTGTTATTTGAGACAGAAACATAACAGTGTTTAAAACGAAATTGTAACCATGTATGTAATTGTAAATTGTTTTTAAAACATGTATTTACTGTCACAAATAACAAAAAAAACTGAATGTCTGAAAATTGGATTTGAAATCTTTGTCAAGAAAACGTGCTGAAGACAATTATAATTTGAGTGATAAAACCGCAATATATTCTCTTATGATAAATGACTCTAACGTGCTAAACGTCCTTTCTGCGCAGGTTGGAAAGTGACGGGAGTTACACGCTGTACGTGCGGAGCGGGTCCTCTGTTTGAAGGAAGGGATGAGGAGGTTCGGGAGGCGGCGGCGGCGGCGGCTGCGGCGGCGGGCGGAGGGGGGGCGGTGCCCGCCGCAGCGGCCCTGCGGCGCACGGAGCAAACGGGAGTGGAGAGGGGGCGTCGGGGAGAGACAATACTCAACAGGTCAACCACCTCCTCAGATGCACGTGTCTCCGGGATGAGTGGCCAAAGCTAACCACGAGACGGGGCAACTCAGCACTGGACATTTCCGGTTGGATTGGGGAAGTCCGGAGTTAGAGAAATGTATTTCAAAAGTAGCAGATTGGACATTTTCTATCTTCGAATCCAGAACTCACCAAGCCAGCTGGTGGAGAAATGAATTTCAAAAGTAGGAGATTCTACATTTTCTATCACGGAATCCAAAACTCACCACTTCAGCTGAGAGAGAAATGGATTTCAAAAGGAAAAGGACTGGCGCTTAAATAACTCACATCTCACCAGATAACTCACGAGGGGAACAAATTTCGTAGAGATTGTGTGTGCTTTGCTACTTTGAAAGTGAAATTCACCCAGCACCTTAAGAAAGACTATGAAAGCAAAAGAAAACAAATTAACCGAAGGACAGGAAATACAGTACAGGCGAGCAGGAAAAGTGTAGCCTCCGCAGTAATTCAGATTTCTTCAAATTGAGTACGTTACCCTCATGTACCTGATCCGAAAATGACCAATGGAAAAACCCTTGCCTCCTGCAGAATTTGGCAATTCAATTCGAGAGACGCTCCGTATTTTCTCGTTGCATCATCTTATTATACTACAAGTAGTCCGGCGCTATCACCGTACAATAAATGAAATTCTTTATTTCAGACTTTAACTGAGAGATCAATAGAAATCTGACCAGATTTTGCATCCTGAAAATAATCCAAGTGCTCATGACAGCTCGTAGAGTCAAAAAAAGTTGATCAGTCAACCATTCTCATAAGAAACTGCTCAGGAAGTAGCTGAATTTCCTTCAGAACGTACAGTATGTCGTAGATTATTCTTCTGTTTGTGTATATTCTGAAGAAGTAGTCCCTTCACTATTGAACCTCTAGTTGAGGTGAATGACGTTATCTTCCAAGTACTTGTCCTCTTTTGGAAAACCACTGTGATGTGCTCACTTAAATCTTCATTACGGTGTAATTCATTTAAAATGGGCTTTGTGACTACCATTGTATGTATACGTGTCTTTTTTTTTAACTTTTACTCAAAGTGCGTATAGAAAGACTGTTGCGCACGTGACTCCTTTCTTATCAGTTCAACAGGGCGCCGTTCCTGATTCGCTGATAAGAATGCTTTGTGGCTTCAATGTAATACCAAAAAGTCTGAGATTAATTCATAAATGAAATGAAAATTGTAGAATAAAAATTGGGCGATAAATAAAAGTTAAGAAAAAGGAAACAATTAGAAACATCTACTGTGCAAAGAAATAAAAATCATTCTTGGCAAACATTATTTTCTAAATGTAAGTGAAACAAATATAACAATAATTAAAAAGTACGCTGCTAAAGTCCAATTGATAGTGCTGCATTCTGTGCTTGGTCGCAGAGAGCTCTTCTAAAATTACTAAGAGGACGATGCCAAAGTATTCTAGTGTAACCGAAGTCCTGTTGGCTTGGCTATCCGAGAACGTCCCCGTCTCTGGAGTGTATAGGGCGCACCCAAGCGGCGGGAAGAGGAGTTTCGACAAGTTGCAAAAGAAGCTTTGGCTAAAACGCTCTTAAAGCTGATATAGGTCGGGCTTGGCGTGACAACACGCAAGAGTCTAACGACGCCACTGATTCTCGCATAAAGTGAGCATAATACAAGTTAAGGATTGCAATTTTTTTAATATACCGATTTAAAAATGTTTTCGAGAGCTAAAATGTGTATGCAGTATTACAATACAGCACGTAATATAGGATATCTTTATATCGAATTTTCTAGAATAATACTTCGCGAAATTAAGTAATCGGATATCTTGATGTTTTGTGTTACAGAAAACATTCAAATGTATTAACTTCAAGTCTCCAAATTTAAGAAAATGTTTTAAGTTCTGAAAATGAATAATATCTTAATTTAATTTTAAAGATTCCTCGTATGTATCCTCGTAAATCCAGTAACTTTTATCCATATACTTCATTATATTTAAACAAATGATCAGCATCAATATATTCATACTAAAAACAGTGGTGTTATAAAAAAATTGATAGCTCCTTACAGTTCTTGATTATTTCCACATTTTAAAAAAAAGTTAATGTAAACTTTACGAGCTGATATCTCCTCCGTATCTTCGAGAAGAAAACGCCTTTAAATTGTTACGTGTGATTTAATACAAATAAAAGACAAGACCTCGAGATCGTTCAAATCTCCCAGACAGACAGAAACCGGAAGTCCAACTGCATGGCAGACGCTTCTCACACACACGAAGTAGGCAATGCACGACGCTACTCCGATTCCTCTTACGCAGCTTTAGTCAAACTTCATGCGAAACCACAAATCCAGTCGCAGAAGTGCCACAGGGGTCATTTTCTGAAAGCATCTCGTTGAAAAAATGTGTGATAATAATGAATTTATAATATGTTTTAAAAATAAAGGACGACCGGGAGTTAAATAATCGTATTCATCTACTAATTATGGTCTACCATCGACGAAACCACCTTGGTGTGTCTAATATTAACTAATATAATTAACCTGAACTAACATATGACTGCATTCCCCAGACGTAAATCTGTAGATCCTCCCTTTGGTAACCTCAATTTTAAACAGTGCAAAATGGCGGGCTGAAATTTCGAGCCATTGTCTATGAAGCATCGCCACTCGGCCAGCCAAGCCAACACTTTAGTGTGTTAATCATATACCGTAAGGTGACTATCGTTTTGCCTCTGCTCCATATGAAGCTTGAAAATATATTTGCGTAATGAAATAACTTTGTGTAAATAGGAATAAAAAGATTTATGAAGAGATATCGATTAGTATGTTTGCTCAGATTATCTAGAAACCTGTTGTTTCTCCGCTAATCACGAGAAGGCATAAGGGGTTTCATTATTTCGACAAATTTCACCCTTGTGTGTGTAAATATCCACTTTTTTCTTAGAATAAATCAGTCTTTGTAATAGGTCAGTTTTTCAAGAAAAGTGTAATACTTCTCTTTTGAGCTTGGATTTATTCTCCGACAAATAAAACATGTTTAATCTCTTATTTTCTGTAATATTGTGGAATACGTGTTTTCTTTCCTGATAACAGTTATGTAGCATTAAAATGTATTTTAAACTATTTGTTATTTATGTGTTACATACAAGAGATGTATAGAATTGTTTCGATATTAAAATAATAAACCACAAGAATTTTCCTTGGTCGTTTATGAAACAAATGTGTTTTTATTATACTCTTGCTCCTCAATACATTTGTCTCCCCAATAATCCTAATTTTTGTACTTCTATACTCTAATATTCCCCAGTCTTATATTATTTTAAATTTATAATTGTTTTTTAATTTTACAAACGATTTATTTCTGTCAAATCTTCCATTCAAAGTTGAAAAAATAAAATTTACAAAATTTGCATATATATATATATATATATATATATATATATATATATATATATATATATATACACGCACATTTGTGCCGAGGAGGGAGAATTGCGTTACGCATACCGGTAGTGTACCGGTTATGTCGGACTCTCCAGCGTGGCATACCGACTAAAACCTAACCTCCTCGATTCACATGGGCCGTGGTATCTTCTGCGCGGGACCGTCGTTGAGGCATTACTTCACGCAGAAGATTGGCTGAGAGCATGAACTTTCCTCTTCAGATGGTCGCTGTGGTATTTTAGCTCTCTCTCTCTCTGCTTTTAGTAGTGGTCCTTCTCTTTAGGTATGTGAGCCACAAAGTCTCGCACTGTTTTCCAGTTATCTCTAGATTGCAGCATAGTCTGGGTTGTGTTTGCAGGCGTTAATTGCAGCGTTTCCTGTTGATTTTATAATATGGGGTCCGAAACTCAATCGTGAATCAATTTCCACCCCCAGATATGTAATATGCCGCTTCCATTCAATCTGTTCCTCCCTCAATCGGATCATCGGGGGCGGAATGCTCTGCAGTTTGTAATGAACATGGCCTCCGTCTTGTCAACAGCCATCTGGAGGTTTCTTTGGTCTAACCATCTTTTAACCCTGCGTAGTGTTTCGTTGGTCTTCATTTCCAATAGTACCGTGTTGTCACTGTGGCATATAATCAGTATATCGTCGGCGTAGCCTATGAGCCTGGAGGTCTTTGGGAGTTCGATATTCAGTAGGTCGTCATATAGAGTATTCCACAGGAAGGGGCCCAATCTTGTTCCCTGTGGGACACCGCACGTCATGCCTTCCTCAATCCTATACCCGTTTGTGTAGATTATTTTCCTCTCACTGAGGTAGTCCTCCAGGATCCTCACAAGGTATTCAGGGATCTTCCTAGCTACTATGGCTTGTATGATGTCTTTCCAGCTGGCAGAATTAAAGGCATTTTTGATGTCAATCGCATACCAAGGCACAGAAGCTCCTATTCCTTGTTTCTGCCTGGTGGACTGCATCTGATATCGCGTCTATTGTCGAGAGTCACTTTCTAAATCCAAACTGTCTCGTTGAAAATTGGACATGTCTCTTTAGTCGTAGAAGGAGCAAACCTTCCAGTAATTTGCTCATCGTATCCAGCAGGCACAAAGGTCTGAACGATGACGTCCGATCGATTGGCTTGTTACCTTTCCGCATGAGAATTAGCTTCTGATGTTTACAACCCATATAGAATTTTCCTTGTTGAAGGCACTGATTAAGGGCTTTAAAGGGCATTCTGGGTATTCTTTTACAACTATCCCCAGGATTGCGTTGGGAATTCCGTCAGGTCCCGGTGCAGTTCTAATCTTAGTCTTCTTCATCGTCTGGACTAGTTCGTCGAACAGGTAGTCTCCAGGTCTGCATATATATATATATATATATATATATATATATATATATATATATATATATATATATGCATATTGTGACCGTACTCACCCTAGACCCTCATTTGACGTGGTCTGTCAGAACGTAGGTGAACTGATGATCACACATTATTTTATCATTAAAAAAATTATTAAGATGGGACAGGGA